CAGGTTTATCGAAGATTTTTTGTTTCAAGTCACGACCCCTCACCCGTGGAAAAAAATGAGTCAACAAAACCAGCACCAAGTAAAGCCGCAGCACGGGCATAAAGCTTCCCCTCGCTCCTAAGATCAAGTGTTCCGAACAGCAGCTGGCTTTACCGAGCCTGTGCTGCAGCCTAGAGGACAGAGACTAAGATATTCAATGATCAGACGCACTAGACTCGAGGTCTATTTTTTAATCACTAGGAAATGAAAGGCTGCAGCTGAGAGCACAGCTTTAGGGTGCTCAGAATTTCCCCATGCCCTGTTTGCAAGCTGAGTATTTAAACGACTTGAGGTTATAGACATTCAATTTTACATTAGGCAGCGCAGAACTTCTGACACAGGGCCTAAGTCACAAAAAGATCCTGCCCTTCTCCCCGAGGATGGAGCTGTGGGAGACTCCCTGTGGAAGCCTTAAGCCTTCTGGATGCTTCCTCGCTACAGAAGATGCTCTTCCTTGCATTAGACTCCTTTAAAACACGCTCTTAAACCAAAGCAACGTTTTAGAGAAGGACAGATGATCAAGACAGCAGCTAGAGCAGAGACAAAACCAGCCATCTGTTCTCAGTTCATCGGGTGTTCTTCCTCTTCCCAGCAGGAAACAGGACCAACTTGGTAACCACTGATCAGTCATGGACTGGTGGAACAGGGGGAGGGTTTCTCAATAACAGCGTTATTCCCAGCCGGAAGAGGTCAATAGCAGCCTGCCCTTGAAAGAAGCCTGGCCCATGCATCTTGTACTGAAGACTCATTCTAGGGTCAAGTGGCCTCTGTAGTAGCAGGGACGTAAAGCAATATGCAGTATTTCCCACTAATCATTTGAGACATTATCTAATTTTAGAATTGTATACTATATAAAGCTACTTTTGAGTGCTTGCAGAGCAGAAGGCCACAACAGGCCTGCACTGTCATCCAAAGCTTTTCTTGGCTTTGGATAAGGCCAAATTATTGCTGAACAATGGGAGAAATTTAAATTCAGTTTAGGATTCTTAAGAAAATGCCAAATGTATAGTCTGTCATTTGTTGAGAAGATCAAAGCAGCCAGGCTCAAGAGGTACTTGACACAGCAGAAGAAAGAGCTAATAGGTTGCAGGGTTTCCCCAAATCTTTTCTCGAGAGTAAGGACAGATACAGCTGAATCTAGTCCATGTCATCCTGACAATAGCACCAGACAGACCCTTTTACGCTACACTTGTGGTGACTAAAAACCTCCTATCTGAAAAATTGTAAGGTATTTGCAAAGCCTGATCTTCCACTGACCAGCACTGCATAGAGAAGACGCACACTGCATCCCTGGGCACTTTATTTCTCGTTTCCATTGAAGCTCCCCAGGCCTGGCAGCCGCCTGGCTGTGTATTTGCAGAGTTAACACCACAGACCTGTTCTCTGCTCAGCCACTCGGGTACTGTTTATGCTGCAGATCCCAAGGGTTTCTATTCTGTATCTTTAGGCAAGATGCACCAGATAAAACTTCAGTGAGATTCGGAAAAATGTATTTGGGAAGCTTTAACAGATCAGCCTTGTATATCACAGATGAAGTGTTATAAAGCTAAATTATCTATCCTAGGAGGAAGAGCATGAAGGTGTATGTTTAGAGGAAGCACAAGGAGCCAGTGGGAATATTTTAGGTGCTTTAAAAGTATAATACTAACTTAGATTCCTTCTGATTATTTCATATTAGACTATGCCATCCATGAGAGCTTTAGCACTGTCATTAATTATTTAAAGGAAAACTCTCAAGAGAAAACAGTGCTAAAAAAGAACGGATTATGCATTGTATTTCTAGTTTTACGACGAAATGGCTTTGCAACCTCTGCGCCTCAGCTGTAAGGTTAGGATAACCCTTCTATCCTCACTATCCTAACAGTTTATCAGCATAAAGCACAGTCAAAATACAGCAAAAGCTGCATCTTGAACTACTTCATTTTTTCAAGAGACTAACTTTGCAGGATGACTCAAAAAAATCAGACAATTTTTCTACATTATGCAGATCCAGTTACTAATCACCTCTATTTTTGAAAGACAGTTCACAGCATTTAAATGTTGAATAAAACACTAAATTGTCTTTTGCAAGTAGGTCTTTTGCATTAAGTTTTAGCTCATTTATTGTTACGTTTGCAAAGTGTATCTACTTTTCTCATTTTACAGCACAGGATAGAAAGTATAAAGGGCAGACTTAATAACAAGGTTATTAGGGGATTTAAGCTATTAGGATTTAAAATTTCTGAATTACAAGTCCAAGCGTTTTATGAAACCTTATGTAGCATTCAAAGCCAGAGAAATCTATGTTTATGTATTCAATACTTTCTCCGTAACATTTTAAGAATTCCAAACCCTTTGCATCTTCCCATAGAAAGATGAGAACCCCATTTTTTTTTTTTACTGGGCCCCACAACATCCAGAATAATAGCAAAGCAGCAAAGAAAAAAAGGAAAGGCCTTGTAGGAATTCCAGTGTCTCACAACAGGAATACCCTGCAACGGTGGGACTCTTTCCTCCTTCTTTAGCGTACCTCCTATTTGCTTCCTACCTTTTATCTCCATTTTGTCTTGCAGCTGTGAATAACTAGGCTGCTTATTCTCAGAACTGATTTAGACATGCCAGATTATGATACACATCAGCTTTGTTTGTTGTAACCACACCAATAAAGTGGTTTTATACAAGCATGACCCACCCCCCCCCTTGTTTCTGAGCATTGCCATTTTTGCGACTACAAAAAAAAAAAAGCCATATCAGTAACTAGGCATTACCAGGTGCTCAAAGGAAAGCCTTCTGAAGAACTCACTGTACCACAGGGAGAAAGAACCATGTTCTCCTGTGGAAAGCAAACGTGGGGGCAAATAAATATGCTCTTACATGCTTTCTTAAACATAACATCACAGAGCCTGATAGAAGTCTTTCACACTGATGAAATGCAAGGTATTTTCTTATACTATCAGGGAATAAAATGGTAGTTCAAGTGGGAAGGAACGTTAATTGGAGGGACAGGAAATGATATCTTATTAGCAACACTTCTGATTTGCTGTAATAAGAAATGCTGGTTAAATAGCACAGCACTTCAAATCACTTTGTTTCTAAAGCACTTTAAAAATCAAGCATACTACATTAAGTCCTCAGAGACAAATTTATCTCCTGTTTGAGAGGGCAAGTACACAAATGATCTATCATAGCTACACAAGGAGTCTGAATTCTTACATCTTGGCTACAATCTCATCTCTCCAAGAACCAGCTGTACCATTTCTTGCATAGTTCTGCTGTATCCAAGAGCAATACTGTTACTGTCCAACACATTTTTCCTTGTGCTAGTATTGGAAGCCATTTATGAAGCTACCTTGAAGCTGATTATTCCTCCCCAATGTTACCACATGCAACTTCTACATAATAGTATCTGAATATTGATACTTGTATTGCAAGAAACACATGTTCATCAGAAGTAATTCAAGCAAGTCTGAAACTAAAATGCCACAGGTATTTAGCACTACTCTAAATTCTTTTTCTTGTTATACCAAGGGGAGGAGGATTTTCAATTCATTACTTATTAAAATCCCAGAAAGTCTTTGGATCTGCAACCATACATGAGTTTTCAACTTCATAACATAACTTAAGTCCTAACACCTTGTAAAGAGGTCACCACCTTGAGAAAAGTTAAATACTGATGGCATTTAAAGGACAGACATGTTATTGCATGGTATTTAACAGTAGCATTCCTTCCTCAAGGAGGCAGCAGTAAGGAAAGTTACAGTTTTCCTTTACAATTAAGTTTCTTCGTTTAGGAAAACCACCAGCAGGGGTTACAGTTTGTGGAAAAAGCACTGCTGACCTGCACGAGTATGCGTTTCACTCTCATTCCCTTAAAGCATCCCAGAGTAGCTTCTGTACCATGTCTCCACTGCAGTCCAGGTCAGTATTGGCATCAGGCTACTCTTTCAGTTCTTGTCCAACCTAAAGTGCCCTATCAAGCTTACTTTATCCTCATAGATATATGCATTCCTGAGGAGACATTCTTTAGTCTTTGCTCCTGCAATAACCCCACTCCCTTGATTCTTAGTGGATTTTACTTAGGACAAATTCTCTCACACATGGAAGCTTGCTGGAAGGCACAGCAGGAACATTAATGGATACTAATGGTCCAGCTGCACAGTCTGCACTCTTGCTGCAAAGAGCACTTACTGCCTCAATGAAAGTACACACACCACCACCATCCCACCCCACCCCCCCACCCCCCCAGCATCAAGACCCAAGCCAGGGAACAGTGCAGGAGCTGCATTTGCAGAGAGTTCAGGTCAACACCAATTAATTCCGTGGAAGTATAACTTACACGAACTAGTGTCCTCTAGATTCCATATGGCTTTGACCTCCTTAAAAATAACTTATCTAATCTTGCAGTCTGTCTGCAATCCTTCAGATTTTGCTTCTCATTTTTTCATAACTAATTTATTCAAAATATCCAATACCTGAAAAATTTCAGCAGCAATACTATAAAGTTATTTGGTCCAACATCAATTTACGTGTTAAAGAAGAGTCAGTAACTCTCCCAGTTTCAGAGCTTTATGCGTTTGGATGGAAGTTCTGAAGTTAGAAAAAGACTACACCTGAATTTTAATACAGGCAGGATGAATTTTTAAAGCTCACACCATTTCAAGAGTACCATACTGATTTCAGCATTCCTTTAGGAAAGGGTGAGCCATCAGTTTCTGCGCAAAGTAAAGAAATTTCTTCCAGCTTATTATAAGACATTCAGACTCAAGTGCATAGATGACGCAGACTGGGTTTTCAGTTGCATACCAATATGAAGATACTGTAGTGCGGTTCTCAGTCTTTTTGTCACCTTCACATAGCTACATAGGCAAGTATGAAACATACTGAACTGCACAAAGGAAACTAGTCATGCATATATGGAGGAGGATGCAGAAGAGAAGTCCTACCATTGGCCCCGAGACCAGCAGTCAACAAAAACCCTACACAACAGGGCTAACAAACTCAAGTCTTCTGTCACTAGGTAAATGTTTACAAGGGCTGCCAAGGCATTAGGGGAGAAAACATTTGCAAGTGGAATGAGTTCAAGTTAAAACTTCAATACAGACAGTTATACCAGTTACTTACAGTAACAGCAAAGACCTCCACATCACCAGTAGCACTTGGCAAAGGTGACGGAGGATGAAGAAACATCTCCCAGACCTCATGGCCTCAACTTTACTATCCTCAAGCAAGCGATACAATGTAAGACTCATTATTTGCAGCTACTGTAGGAATAAGCACACCACAGGTTAGTCATCAGGATTGAAGGACAAATGTTTTGAACCCTTGCATACTTTCCATGTGCAGAGAAGGGAGCAGAGGAAGCAAATGTTTAAGACTGCTATGAAAACAGAGCCCACTTAGCTGCCCAAGAGGGGGGAAAAAAAAAAGCCCATCTACTTTCACACTTGAGAACAAGGATACATTCTTCCTCATTTATACTTATCTGACAAAGTAATTGAGAAAAAACATTTTATTTCTAGATCCATTTATTATTCCAGTCTGTAAAAATATAAGACTAATATACAACTACATCTAGCTTGATTTTGTAAAATCAATCTTCATTCAGTGAGAGACCAATGTACATTATACATTGAAGTTGTAAGAAAAATACTGATATTTGACGTTTTAAACAAGTTCATTCATGTAAAAATCACATTGCAAGTAAAATTTAATTAGAAAATACATAATATTCACAAAAATACACATGTTAAAGACAGCTCGTGAGAACATTGTCCTAAATTTAATTCAGCTGTGGAAAAAACATATGATTCACAGTTAGGCTTGACTTATCCAGTACCATAGCAGAACTTCAAAGTAAATGCATCTTAATTCTATTAAGAATTTGTTCTTTTTCCTATTAAGGTGCACTTAAAACTCCCAGTCGCAAGTAAGGAATGACTTGTCCCCCCACTGTGCATGTATACAACATATAACACTAGTCAAAAGAATTTTAGTTTTCCATTCCATTTTGAAATAATTTGGATATTTATAAATTAATTTATAAAATCTGGATTGAAAATACAGTTTACATATACAGGATACTTAATCCACAAAGATTACATTAATAGCAGCATAACATTGTCAATCATGCATAGCATCCTCACTATCGCTTTTGGATTTTTTCCTTTTTTTTTTAGCTAAAGATAAAATCTATATAAAACAGTCAAGCCTTTAAGTATTTTCTTCCAAGGAGAAAATCGTAAAGATGTTAAAAATTTAGGAGGTAGTGAATGAAAGGCTAACAATATCAGCATATTTTAAAAAAACCTTATACTGAACAAGAGTACCATTTATATATAAAATTATCGTATCATCACTCATAATCAACCGTTGATCACCCTGAATTAACAATTTGAAAATATTTTGTAATTAACAGTGTATGCATTAGTAAGATATGGAAGAACTTTAGAAACTTTATGGTAACTGCAGCGTTAAGCAATTACATGCTGTGCAGTCTGTCACTGTAACTGTAAATACACACTTTTAAAAGCCCATTTTTAGGTTTATTCTTTAATGTTTTTATCAAGTCCCAAATGCTTAGTTTTACAGCACGTTACCAAATTTCTGTAAAACAGAACATGACGTGCGTCAAAAAGTATATTATCTCACATTTAGATTAATCAGTTTGCAGGAAAGGTCCTAAGAGATGAATTCTCATGCAATTTAGAGTAGGACCCTAGTTACATTTCTACAAGTCCTTAATACTGGCGTGTATATCCAAAATATTCATGCGTCCATTTTAAGTACGGTAATACACAGAGTTTGGCAGCACACTAACCATGGGTGTTGTACCAAAGCAGTAAGTTACCTTGCAAACCTACCATTCTCAGACTCAGCCCTCCTGTGTAAGCTAACAGCTCAAAGCTATTATCCAAGCTGCAAAATACTAATGTACCACATTAGATCCATAATGTATTTCCACTGAATGAAAACATTACACCTGTATTAAGTGCACTACCAGTTCATTTTCTGTACCTGCGGACCTCATTTCTCATCCAAGTGCCTTTATTCCTTTGATTATTCACAATACATTCAAGTAAACAAAAGGCACAGAAGTGCAAACTAGCAAAAAAAATGAAAGTCACCCTTCACTGATGATTTCATACAGGAAGGAAAGTCTTTTGACAAAGGAAAAAAGACATTTTAAAGTAAACAATCTTCCTTAAATAAAGGAAGTGTAGAGCAGCACTGACAGAAAACAAGTCTTTTTAAAATCTACATGTTGCAGAATGAACCTCTCTTTTCCTAATTTCACATGAGGTGGATGTAGTTACGTCATTTTTAACTATTACCAAAATAAGTAAAACACTTCAAAATTCTCATTCATGTTGGAAAATATTCCAGGACCGCTCCACACACACACTGAAGAAACCATAAATAAATTTGAAAAAGCAGAACTCTAACCTGTATTTGCAGCATGCCATTGTCTGTTATGCCAACTCTCCATAAATCAAAAAGGGTACGAACACCACCTTTCTTGACATCTGTGAGACTTGAACTCCAATAGTATCAAAGGCTAGAATATGCTGCTGCTCGTGAGATGCGACTTTAACATTTGCATTTAGTAAAATTAAACAGCAGTAATAACAGAAGCAATTTTGTTCACATCATTACAAAGATCTTACACAAATACAATTTTAGCCTCTGATATCCTAAAAAGACTTTTAAAGATGCCTTAGTGTTAAACTTACAGTTAATCTCTTGTTAGTACAGTTAACAGAGGTAGATGTTTCCCCAAGATAGACTGAGGGGAAAAAAAGAAAGGGGTCAGCCTCCTTTCCCGCTCATCCTATCTCTCCATGGGGTAGAACACACTTCCAAGAACCCAGACTACTGGCTCTGACAAGCCTAGTACCACAGTACAGAACTGGTAGCATCCTACTTTCTTAGAGGTTGACATAGACTGTTGGATCCCTGGTGAGAAGCTCCATCCACCCGTTCCCCCCAGCCCTATTAGTACCCATCTCATTTTCCTGCCACAGCTCAAGTTCCCAGAGAAGAGTCAGGTTGGGAACCGAGTGCTGAAGTGGTAAAGCAGGAGATAGTAAAAAGGGGAAAGGGCAAAAAGAACGCTAGCAGCCTCTCCCTGCAATTCTCCTAGTAAGTTTGCAACTGATTACACACATACTTATGCACTTGCAGTATCAGGACTTGTCATGGTATTTTGTTTTACATATAGGAACTCTGTAACATTCAAAACACCCAGCCAGTGCATGGTACACAGAAAGATCAGCATTTACAGTTTAGATCATTATAATGAGTAATTTAATATCACATGGTTTGAGCAAGTTCTATTAAAGCCTCATTCTGATTTAATTTTTTTTTTAATTAAAGGATTTAATTTTAGCTGTTCTAACTTGTTTAGGTTTGAAAAAAGTAACTTTTTACATAGTTCAGACTCATTACAATAAACCTTTCCTAGTAAAAATCTTTACAGCTTCTACTAGGACTGCAATTTTAATATAGATTACATTTTATTATTTCCATAGCATTAAGTTTACATTTGATTTCTTTGAAATTTACTGGGATTAGCAACTAAATCAAATTATATCCTTAAATATTGCAAACAAAAATGAGAACAGGTTTTGATACATAAGTGTTAATAATTTCGCATTTGAATTTCAAAATAATAGTAATTAAAATTTAGCTTACCCAGCCGTTAAAAAACAGTAAAGGTGCAAGACTAATGAGCCTGTGGTTGCACATTCACTTACAAAGGAACAGTCAACTTCAGAAGCCCCCACCTTCAAATAATGACTGTCGTCAAGTTGCTGACCACTGTCAATATCCCTGTTGCTCAATGAGTCAGTCAGGGAACCTGTGGTTGCACATTCACTTACAAAGAAACAGTCAACTTCAGAAGCCCCCACCTTCAAATTCTGACTGTCGTCAAGTTGCTGACCACTGCCAATATCCCTGTTGCTCAATGAGTCAGTCAGGGAACTAGACCAGCCAAAACCAACTCTTCCCACCTCACCTCCTGCTTATTTTTCAGCTTCCTCATACACAGAGCCGCACGAACAGCTCTACCAGCTAAACAGCAGTTGAACAAGAATGAAGTGGCTAAAGCAGCTCCATCATACGTAAGCAGCACTTAAAATGAACATGAAACCACAGTACATTAGATAATCAACCTCACACAATAATGGAAGTTTACTTCTATAGAACCAGTAGTATTATACATTAAAAAAAAAATCAAGTACCTTTAAAAGAAAGCTCATAGCCATCTCTTAGCTATCCTTCATTTTCAATTTAAATTTTCCTCATCCAGTTTCAGTCATTTATCAATTATCTTCCATCTTTGTGAAGTATTTACACTGAAGTGCAGAATTAAGTTAGGCAACTTACATAATTTTGAACTTCTTGTATTTAGTTTTTTCCCTCCTTTTAATCTAACTGCAGTGCTCGGTAGATGGAGAGGTATAAAATGTATTACACATTAAGCCAAATTAAAACATGTATGGCATCCTTACTTAATACAAAGTACACCAATGTAATTTCATAGTGTTATTATAGTTCCATCTTCTTCTAATGACTTATGATCTGGATCTTGTACTTCATATTCCATGCTAATGCTGCCTGCTGAATGATTCAAGTTCATCTCACTGGAAGGAAGGAATCCATTTTGTGTTGACTCATGAAGGAGTTCTATTTGCGTCAACGATTCTAGGCTTTCGCTGGTAGGTGCGGCTTTTGGAATCTGCTGTGGCTCACCACTATCTTCAATAATAATGTCCTCTTCATCACTCTCCTCTTCTCCTTGCAAGAAATTTGCTAGAATATTTGGCGTGCTACTTGGAAGGCTAGATTCAGTAGACTGACCGGAGCTGCCAGAAGTCCGACTGTTCCTCACAACATTATTTCTCTGGTTTGCTGGTCTTACAGTAATGATCAGGTTACGGCTGTTAGCAATCATCATGTCTGTAACCTGATCAAGGCTTTTTCCTGAAACCTCTATTCCATTCACCTCCAGTACTTCATCATTGACAGCCAGTAAGCCTGTGCTTTGAGCCAGACCTCCAGGGACAAGCCTAGATATGAAAATCCCTGGAACTTTCTCTAATCCATGTGGCGTTACTCTGACACTAGAGCCATCTCGTATATAGAATCCAAGGGGTTTATCAGTTCCATATTTGTAAAGTCGTACCCTACGATGGGTTTCTGGAAGAATATCTACATCTATAATAGAAGACACTGGTCTGAAGTCTTGTGGCATGCTAATGACAATGTGTGGTTTCTTCTTGTGATTATCTGGACGTAACACATTTGATAAGACATTTTTCTTCCTTGTCATGGTATCCGTACCAAAGGCACTGTAGTCTGCATCTTCTGTAAGACATAGCACATTGATGATTAGATCGCTTTATAGCAATGCAATACAGACCACATATAACGTTTTAGGTTAGCAGAACGAAATATCTAAACTAGAAGGTTTCTGGCTTGCTATAGTAGAAACATTTCTCTCTACACATGAAACAATGTTATGAGATTCAAAGTTTGTAATACTTTTGGTTTCCTACTATCAAAGGAAAGACCACACAAAAAATTTAAAGCAAGTTAGCAGCAACAGACAAAGAACTATACTCTAGCTGCCTGAGAAAAAGGTTGGAATGGAAGGAGTATGTTCCTAGAAACATTTTAATTTTATTCAGAGTAATTCCACTTGTTAGTTTTCTCTCCTCAGGTTTCAGATCATTGGAAAAGAAAGAATGAAGAAGGGAAAGCAGCCAGTGTGCCTATTATTGCCTAGTTCCTGGAAGCTAGCCAAGTGACCTGGATTCAAACTCCAGAAAGCTTATTCCATTCTGCACTCTCCTCCCTGCCCCCATGCAATGTAGGTAAAATGGCTGTGGAGCAGAAACAAAGAGATCTTGCACACAAATACTTCAAGCAAAACTGTTCATATAAGCAATGCTGTAACTGCCACAATTTGATACAGACGTATGCAAATGGCTTAGAATTTTAAAAAAGAAAACATATGCAAGTCATACAAACACTTTTCATGGAAAATAAAGTACGTTCTACAGAAGCAATTCTGATGTCTGAAATGCCTATTTACCAAAGGAAGTTTCTGTTTTTCTTTTTAATAGCTGTAACTCTCCAAAAACAATGAACCAAAACACATTTAGATCCAAGCCTCCTTGGATTGACACTTGTATTTTTGCAGTGTTGCACAGATTTTTTTTTTTTCCTGGCGTGGATAAAAAAAAATAACCAAGCAGAACTGCACTAACCCTGGGACTCAGAAAAGTTGGAATTTCTTTGTGTTATCACATTAAGAAGCCATTGGTACAGCCAAGAAAGTAAAAGAATTGCTATACATTTTAATCTGTGAATTGAAATAACTATGGAAATGCAAGCCTAGTGTGAAATTTCAGGAGAGCTATCAATTGCTGATGAAAAAGTACACAGTGAGAGTTGGTAAGTCAGAAAACTTTTTTCTAGGTTAAGATTAAGATACGCAGACATGTACCAATTACATTTGGCCTCTTCAGATTATTTAAGCAAAACAGAACAGGCAAAGTAGTTCTGAAGCAATAGCCTAACACTATTCCACACCATGTAATACTAACCCCTCCCTTCCCCAGACATTAGGGCTGCTGAAAACAAGAAGAGTTTTTTAAGAATAAAATGATTGATCTAAGGCAGCCTTGGATTTAGTGTTCTAAAAGATAAAGGACAACAGGAGAAGAAACAAATTTAAATTAGCCCACCAAAAATCCAAGGGGATTTATTATAAACTCATACCTTGTGTTTACACAATAGTAATAAAATAGTTCATCAACATGGTTTAAAAAAAAATGTGTCCTGATGATGGCCTCATTTACATTTCTTATTTTTTTTTGTTTAAAAAAATAATCACACCTTAAAGAAGGCAAAGCTGTTCGCTAAAGACAGAACACCTTTTTGTATTAAAGTTTACAGATAAAACTGTTCAACAATTTAATTGACAAACAGGAATTATTTCTGAAGACAGCTAAGTCTACACAGCCATAATACATTCCAGAGTCGCTTTTGTGACAATCTCTGTTACTTTGGGAGACCGCGGATGCCTCTCAAACATTATATCCACCTTGCATAGTTAATTTTTACTTTTACTGTTTCTCAGATTTGGCCGTCTTTTCACCCATACTGGTGTTTCTGCAAGAGTTACTGAATGAACAAAGGCAGCGCTAACAGAAATTGTTCCATCTGTGTTACTTAAGCACAGACACCCCACAGTGCTCTCACTTCATGCGACAGAATGCATACTGAGAGCACCCTAAGGACTCCTCTCCCACTTCACCCACTGAGACAGCCTCTGTAAAACCTGCTTCCCTGTCTTCTTAGGACAAGCAGGTAAAAAAAAAAATCAAGCTAAATCAGGGAGTGGGCTGGCAAGAACTGTATGAAATTTAACAAAGACAAGTGCAAAGTCCTGCACCTGGGATGAGAGAACCCAAGAGCCCAGCACAGGCTGTGATCTGTGTGGCTGGGGAGCAGCCTGATGAAGGGATCTGCAGTCCTGGTGGACAGGATTCAGCAGCACGCTGCTGCAGCGCAGGCAAACTGGATCCTTGGGCTGCATCTGCAGGGGCACTGCTAGCAGAGATAGAAGTGTGATCAGCCCACTCCTCAGCACTGGTCAGGCTGCAGTCCTGGTCCCCAAAATTCAAGAGAGATGTAGGCAGACTGGAGAGGGTCCAAAGGCGGCTGCAAAGATAATCAAAGGGCTGGAGAACCTGTCCTGTGAGGAAAAACTGAAGGAGTAAAGTCTTTTCTGTCTGGAAAAGAAAAGGCTTGGGGGGAACCTCACCACAGTATTTCAGTACCTGAAGGGTGGCTGCCAAGAGGACGAAGGCACACAGAAAAGATGGGCAAGAGGTACAAGTACACTGGTAGAGGTTTCATCTCAAGGTTTTTTTTTTTTTTTTCCATAGGTTTTGTTTTGGTTTTTTGTTAGTTTTGGTTTTTTACAGTGAGAACAATCAATCACTAGAACAACCTCCACAGGGATGCAGTGTAGTCCCCATCACTAGAGGTTTTCAAGATGCAACTGGACAGGGTGCTAGATAATCTCATCTAGGCTCCCCTTCCCATAAAAGATTGGGCCAGATGATCTTTTGAGGCCCCTTCCAACCTGGGCTGTTCTATGATTTTACAAATTGTACAAGGAAGAGTAAGAAAGTAAAAGAAAACAGAAGAATCTACACTAGCTATGCTTGAGAACATTAGATGATAGTGAATACAGGAAATAATTTTTAATTTCTTTGGGAGTCTGAAAGGTTCTCTCAAACACATGGAATGACTTTTCTCCAGCAAAAGAGGTTAAGGAGAAAAAAATTGTAATTTAAGGTTAAATTAAAGTAACATTAGATCTCAACATCAAGCAAGAAGGCTTTATAAATAGCCTAAAATATGTTCTTCAGGTGCCTAAGAGTATTAAGTCAGTTGTATTGAAGAGTGAGTCGATTAAAAAACAATCCAACCTCCCAAAGCAAAGAATGTAACAGGTGCACTATGTCTGAAGTGGAAAACACCTCCAAAAATGCAAACTTACCATCTTCTCTGTAAAATGCATTTTGGGATATCTAACTGACTGAAGATCAGCCATTAAAAATCCTATACTCCATTGCTGAAAACGAACACACTGATTTTTTCAGACAACATAGAGCAATTCTTTTAAAAGCTTAATATTTATGATCAAAGAAAAAAGTGTGAGAAGTTTTGCCCTTCTCTCTACTGACAACCCATCCAGCCAGTTTCAAGTTAGGTATCTAGTCATTACATTGGCAGGATTTTTGCAATTCAATGAGTTGCAATAGCTTCTCTTTTTTTATTTGGAACTACAGTCATTTACAAAACAAATTGGAAAGGGCAATTGTGAAATAAGATACTAGACAGAAGAGTCTTGCTTTAAATATCTTTTACTGCTAAATATAAAGTAATACAGTGACAGCAAGAAAGTGATAGTACAGGTGAAGATTTTAGAAAAAAACAATAAACAGTGACTTGAATATTGGAATTAAGTTAATGAGTGCAAAAATTTTTTTAGGTCATGATTTCCCCCTCCCCCACCACCAGCTGGTATGCATCTTAGTGATCTCAAACTATGTAAAAACTTTATTGTGCAGTGCATATCTAAGTAGCTCGGATCTCTGATACTTCATAACTCTTGTTTTAAGGCTGCACAATCAGTGGTAAATTCAACAAGACTAGAGAAAAATATTCCAAGGACCAGAGATATTGCATGGACAAGACATGTCATCTTGCCTCGTTTCAAAAGCTTCACTGCTTTTTGTTTTGTAGCGGTGACATGTATTTCTAGGCATTTAACACCACATTACTCCAGAAGAACTCGGTTCTTTGGTAAGTTCTCCAGAGAGCGAGTGAGTAAGTTGGAAGCATTTCAACTGATTAGTTCCATATTGTTCAGACTTCAATCCATATTATGCCTTTTTTTTTTTTGAGTAAGGTCATCTAAAGTAAACAGGAAAATTGCACATGCACAATTTATTTGTGCTAGAGTGCAAGCTGCTGCTGAAAACTCTAGGATGTAAGTACTAACATATTGGTACCAGAGAAGCACTAAGTTTCTACTGCTTTTAGTATAAGAGTTGGTTTAGAAACAGTACACAGGAAAACAGAGTATCAAAACATTGTCAGTATTGATTTTCTTATAAGTGCTCTTCTACATGCATTACAACATTAAAAGGTATTCAGCTTTTGAACTTTTCTCCTTAAATTCAAAGTGCACAAATTCAGATTCTTGTCAAAGAGTCAGACAGAGTATCTGGTATTTCACACATTCTGTCATAACAAATGTATATCCTATTCAACATTCCCAGCGTGCCACAGCGGGCTGTAAGGCTTCTTCACCTTCACAGCAGGTCACATACCAGGATCTCTCTCCTGCCACTCAGGCCCTCTGTGCCTACATGGTAAGTTCAGCATGTACTAGTTGCCTTCCCACAACTATCAGTTGAGAAAGCTTAGAACTTTTGTCCAAATCAAATGTTTCCACCATTAGCAGAGTAACCTGAAGATCAGTTGCAGAAGGACTGGCTTTGAAAGAAATATTATGTAAATAGATCTGTATGTGAAATAACAAGATTCAAAAGTGCTTTTTAAACAAAAACAAAGATCAGAAAAACATTTATTGGAAGAGATATGAACTTTAAAAGTCTCTTTCAGAAAACAAATATACAATCAGAAATCTTAACAATGAGCTGGTGCTTTTGCTTTTAGAAACTTTACATGACACATTGCTGAAGTAAAAGCATCCCAAAACTGCAAGCCATCCATCAAAACATTAAGAAACTATAAAGCACCAGAGGGTAGTTGTTTTGCATTGTAACTAGTCTTAGTAGTCTAATAATTAAAAACTAGCAAACCTTAAGATATACAGTTAAAGTTACGTAATTTGTGGGAAAAAGAAATAGTGAAAGGTTGATGAAAACTTGTCTCCAAATCTCAGCCAAGCAGCATGACTCTGTTTAACCTCTCCTCCACTGCTAAGCAAGTTTTCTAAAGCAATATTCTCAAGTACAAAGGCATCTTTGTTCTGGCACCTAGCTAATCAGTTTAAAGCTGCAGTGGCAAATATTTTGGCATAAAGCCAAAGGACAAGGTGTTAACTACAGATAGTGTTAAGGAGAACTATCCACATAGTGCAAGAATGACTTTTCCCCCTAGCAGTTTCAAGCTCAAGGTGCCACCAATCTGTATATACTTGTTACATGAAATCTAAAACAAAAGCCCACAAATGCTACATCTGTTTTCAATTTAACATGGCTCAAGACAGATATTTAAAACGTTTTCCTGATTGATTTGCAAAGCAATGTAGAGTTACCTCATAAAAAATAAATTTTCAACCCCCCCCAAATCATTAGTACATTTGAATATAGATACCATTCAGCAATTTTTTTTTTAAATAAGCCCAAACAAATCTCTTCTTTAGTCACAAGTTATAACAAAACATGGTTTTAGGAAACTAACCTGCTTTTAGAAAGAAGACTGAGAATAGCTAGGATATGCCCTACAAAGCTGTTTAACAAGCCCACTTCTCTTACTTTTCACCAAAATAAAGCTTCTCAGTAAAAAAGTCTACCTCAGGAGGCAAAAATGAATTAACCGTTCAGAGAACCCACTTTTTACTATATACTGCCACGTACATGCAGAACTTGCATGAGTTGTATATTGTAATTTAATATCCCGTGAGTAAGTTTTAAGGACATTATAATGAAATAAATCTTTTGTTATCTCTATTATTCTTGTATTTACAACACAAAGTCCCCCACGTCAAACCGCCCTTCAGGGTCTGTACGGACTATGTGTCATCGCCCCCCATTTTATCTCCAGCAAGATTTTTCTCACAGACAGAGCGACTCCCATACATCTGGATTTAATCAAGATACATCAGTTTAACCTTTAAATTCCAGATGTCAACAGTACCTGTTAATCTGTTAGACTGCAGAATGAAATTTCAATGAGCAACTGTTTTCCGCAAACTGTTAGCCACTCTTGACTTGTGCAGTATCAAGCTCCAGTTTACATTTAGCACTGGAGAACAGTTTAAAATATTTTAGAGGAATTCAGTTAAACAAAATTAGAAGAGTCTAAGTGGAATAATGCGATTTCATTTCATTGCAGGATCTCTAGGTTTCTTACCACATTGATCAATATGCATAAATGCTTAGGACAAACAACTTTCTGGCTTTTATATATTAGGATTCAAAATTGAACAGAAAAGAGTGCTTACTCTGGCATAAAAAAAAATCTGAAATTTCCAGAGTCACATTATCACAACTGTCACTTATTAACAACACTGCAAAAGCATCTTGTTGCTTCTATTTCAACCCCTTAAGGTGTTCCTTGGATACCAAGAAGTTAATACTATTTACCCTAGATTTTATTGTAGTCTGCTCATACCTTATGTTAGCTTTCTGTAAATTGCATATAGTTTCTAAATAGGTAATGCAGTGTAAAAGAGATGAAGTTCTATTATGACAGAAAAAACTCACTCTCTTCCCCACAGTAGCTTTTTGCTAAAGATCTTAAATTCCCAACTATTATTGCTGGAAATAAAAAGGACAAAGTTCCATTAAGAAAACCCAAAGAAAATTTTCAGATTATTTAAGAGGACGTATGAAAGCCACAAGAAGCCTTGCAGGTAGAAGAGTTATTCGTGTCACTTACTAGTTATCATTCCAAAAGCACAGATCAAAGCTGCCCCATCAATAGCAGGTATTTGTTCAGACACTTGATTTTCAATTTCAGAAGTACAGCCCATAAGGATCTGTACAACCGCATGAATTAATCACACCCAAACAAATCATGCTGCACAAATTATGACACATCTGCAACTCCTGCAATTCAGCTTTAGTTACAGGCAAATTACTGCAAATAAAATACAGAATCAAGTTATTTCCTTATTTTCCAATTAAACAAACCTCTGTTTGCAAAGATGCTCATGGAATCAAAGCCTCAATTTAATCAACAGAAGCAATCAAAATGGTCACAACTAATTCAGAACAAAGTACAGTGCTGGAAGTGCTGGACTCAGATGCCAGCCTGGATGCTTTACTCCCTGAACTCTATAGCCAGAAGACTCTTGTGTCAAAGGGAAGGTGCTGACAGCTGATACTTTCTATACAGCCTTTCCTGCTAATCAATTCTTGGCATGATAAACTTAAGTAGGTTAATCTTATTTCTAGTTCAGTGCATTATATCAATTCTATTATCAATTCCTCACACCAGAGTAATAAGAAATAATCCATGAAGCTTTAAATAAAAGTACAATGAATAAAAGTATAAAGCGTTATAACACTAGTAACAGTCAGCATTAAACATGTAACACTAGTAACAATCTAAAAACATATGGTGTTAAAATATAACCTCAATAATCCCAGTCTGACAAAGTGGCTTATCTGTTCTCGTCATATGGCTACTGTAGGAGATTAAATGGAATCATAGACCTTTTCTACCTCTGGGTTCTATTAAAGCAAGTAGTTCATTCCTTTGGCAATTCAGCACTGAAAACACAGGCCTTGCTAGACTATACCATCTTCAATACAGACAAAGCAAACGCATTTTGGCAAGCAGCCACACTGTTTTTAAGTAGTGTTTCTGTGCAGAGTTTATTAATTTTTTGGAGTGGGAAAGTTGATAAAAGCTTCCGATGCTCAACTACTTTCTAAGGAAAATAATCCTGTTTTAGCAACAGCCAGGAACAGTGCACATCTTTATAAACTAAGCAAGAAGCAGTCTTCTATTCAAAGATCAGTTGACTGCCTTATGATAGGAATTGCACATGCATGCATTCATATATACATACACACACATGCACACTCACACTTTTATGCAAGTAAGCAGAAAACCAAGTGCAGAAATCTGGTTTTCTTGGCTTCTCTTATTATTAAAACAATTTAAAATCACATCACTAGATTTCTCCCCTCCCCTTCAGTTCCATATACTGAGTATGTTCTCCTGGACAAAAACAAATACAACTTCAGATCTGATTTTTTTTTTCCTTCATGAACAAAAGCAGACACTAGAAAGAGATAACCAGAACTTTGTGCCTAGAAGGCATGCTATTTTTAAAGGCAAAAGAACAAACTAAGCAGCACTCAGATTTGAGGTTTGCTAACTGAAATAAGCTTGTCATTTTAAAAGCTTCAGAATGTTTTATTAGGAAAGTGTGATAAAGTAGCATATTACAAAGTTAGTCTTTAATTCATACCGACATTTAATACTTCATGTAATAAGACTTTCAAGATGCCTTTCCATCCTGTAACAGCCTCCTCTTGTCTGATCAAGATCAGAATTTTAAGTGAAAGGCATCCAACATACAGAGCAGAAAACCCTCGAGGTTTGAAGTTTATTTTAATTTGCTTGCTTAAATGCAGAAAGAAGCATTTGCTAGAGATTTAACTTGACTTTAACTGAACTAAATACAGGCAAAAAAGCACAGAGCATAAATAGGTTGCCCGAGGAAGCTCTTGCAAGAGAGATAAGTTGGTAATACCTTTTGTGATCCATAATTATTACTGAATTCAACACGATGAAATAGGACTGAAGGTTTTTCCCTCCATACGTCACACTTTACTGCAACATTGTATAACTTGATAAAGAGATGATTCATAGACTTCAAGCGCACTTACCTTTTCTCTGAATGAAAATCCTGAGTAGAGGATTGGCTGTTGAAACTGCTTTATGATAATTGTCATCATTATTGATAGGCAGCAGGTCTCCATGAATGTCCGTATATCCCACTAGAACATCAACATTTGGTATCTTGTGCACATGCTGCAATAATCCATAGAACTCCTCAAACTTTCCAGGCTTGGATCTCTCCAGAGAAAATCGTCGAAATTCTGCTCCAAACTACAACAAAATATGTCTTACATCATTAATATGGAAATCCAACATCCTCAAGTGATAGAATGATTTGAATGTTAAACCAGAAATGTTATGGAATTAAAAGAGCACTACAAACTACAACTAGTAATTTTGAAGTGGCATAAAAAGGTCAGTTTGAACTGAGGTTTTTTTTGAAATTTCAGTGCACTTTAGAATAGCATGTATAGATTGTTAACAAGCTATGGTTAACCTATGCAAGACTGAAGAGTTTTCAGATTCCCAGTTGCTCGGACAAGAAATAAAAAAGCCACTTTGACCTGAAGACTACAAAGAACAGCTTCTGCTTTTCAGTACAAACTATGTGCAGTAAAGCTTTTGTGAACTAATCTCAAGTCAGTTCTGCTATACCTAAACAGAGATATAAAGGATGCAACCAGCCACTACTTCTTTAGAGCATTCAGAAGATTTGCCCACATGATCAAGACTCAAATCCTGACTACACACTTTTAAAATGTGGTTGTATCCAGTTTATGAAGTGACAAGATTTAGAAGATATGCAAAAAAAACCACCAAACCCCATTTAATCACTGGCACTGTACTTTCAGGGGTAGCATTTTTATTTAGTCAGTATAATTCAACAAAAAAACCCAGCTCCCTAGTCCACTCAAGCCTCAGTCTCCTATATCACCTATATTACAAACACTTAATAAAAACAACACTAGCAATGATTCAGTGGTGGTAGGCGTAAGACTAAACTGGGTGCAAATAAAAGAGTAAGCCATTAATGTAGACTAGACAAATTTTAATTTTAGCGAGCGTAACTGGTAAAGTTATAGTGTTCTGCCCGACACAGGCAGGACCCAAAGCAAACAGAAAATTGAAAAAAAATTACTTCAAAACCTCTGCATCAGGCACACACAACACACCAAAAATGCTAAAAGGAATTAAGAGATAGCAGCAGGTAGGGTACTAAAAGCAGACCAGCTTGTAGATTAATTAAGGGGTAATAAAGTAAAAAAAAGAAAGCAAAGGCAGTTGGTAGCATTTTTTTGTGAATTCTATTGCTGACCTACAGTGAACATAAAGATTTTAAATAATTTCTTTAGCAAAATTAGTTTTAAGCAGAACAGAAGGGCACATGGAACAAAATACTTGCTGACTGAAAGTTTGAGCCTCACAGTATCACATGCTTGGGTATACATTACACACAGTAGATGTGAAGGTGCACATTACCAAGCCTCTACACCAACCTTTACCTCACATTTGATTACAACCTTTTGGAGAATAAAAGCTTTAGAGTTCACACATACAAACAAAGGAATGAAAATAAGGAGACAAGGACCCCATTGTTAGCACATTAGCACCATGCTAACTCAAACACAGCAAAACAAGCTACACCTTCCAACACCCCACCTTCCTCCCGAAGTTGCAAATAAAGGAATTATCGGGGAACATTACTCTTCCAGAAATAGTCCAATTCCAGTAACATTAACTAACAATAAGGCAGAAGGGATGATTTATACGTGCTTACCAGAAAAGCAAAGAAAAGCCTGCAGGAGGAACTCCCGTCACATCACAAGCAGCACACTTAATCATGACATCAGTGAAAGACTTCACCCTGTGTCTCTCAAATCTTTCCTCAGCTATGTGAGGTACGAATGCCACAGGAATTGCCCATGCATTGCATCAATTTCAATTGTTTGGCTTCGAAAGACTACATAGTTTAAACATGATTCAGTAATAAAAGTTTAAAAAGCCAACAACCTCATTCTCAATTTGGAGTAAATGTTAAATCCTACTGCAGCAAGCATACAAAAGGACAGATTTTCAAACGTGTAATTTTTATTTTTCCCACATTATTTGATACATAGCTGTTGCAAACACCAAGAGACTAATAATCTGGCTATTATTTCTGAACACTGCCATATGCTCAATACTATTATAAAGCAGAAAAAAAGACAAAAGTAAATCTATGCAATTTCATAGTTTATTTTATTCCCCCAAAATGTTTTCATTTTATATAAAATATTGCACTCTATTAAATAGGCTGCACTTACAACTTGTAAGATAAATTCAGAGGAGATAAAAGACTGAAAGAGACTGAGTTAAGAGAAGGCTTCTTGCTACCTGAGCTCTTTACAAACACATGCTGTTACACTGCCAACTCACCTGGGAAAACACAGCACAAGCGATGTCAGCACACTAGGAAGTTACTAGAGATACTCACTTAAGCAAGACTTACTTATGAGAGACATTGTTAAGTCCTCTGTAACACAGCATACTGCTGCTATAGTGGAAGTCTCCAGCAACAACAGAACGTGAACTACAGTAACTGTATCTGACTCGTCAGTATATTAGATTTCATTTTGAGAAAATATCCAAGAGAGAGAGGAGGGAAACCTGAATTTTGTATCTAGAGAACTAGCAGTTTATTTTGGGGCATTCAAACCATCACCAGGAACTCTAGTCTGGAGTATAAAATTTGATTCTTTTTGATTAAGAAAAAGGGCTAACTGGAATTAACATACTATGGGGATTCCCCAGGACAAGTTCAGAGCAGTTACCCCAATCGAATAAAGGAGACTAACAAAAGGATTTTGCTCATGTAACTGCAACTACATTTGGGCTGTGCTGGCACAGCTTTGCCATTTGGGGCACAGTTATTGATTTGGAATATCTAAATAAAGAGCTGTACATTGCTGATAAGCCTTCAAAGCCTAGAGCTGCACCACAGTAATGGTCCCCCCTCCCCCACAAGCCTTTCTTCTTTCTCTTTAGAATTGCTTCTTTTCATAAAAGGAAGATGGCTCCTATACTCTATTAAATCAAGGTGCTGTTAAATAATGCATTAGCAACAAGTCATTCTAGGAATGCCTTGAAACCTGCTTCGTAATATGCACTTAAGAGACAATCCCTATTCATTAGAACATCTACAAACACCAAAGAACACATCACACAGGTGATCCCTAGATATATTTTAAATCAAGGAACACACAACAGGTGAACTTAAAGAGTTTTGGGCTAAAGAAAACACTATTTTGTTTATAAACACATTGTACTGATTATTTTCAACCTTGTAAGAGCATAGATGAAAAAAAGACTTCACCAACCACAGTAACAGCTATGCTTAACTCATATTTGAAAACATGGCTACCAGCTATTCCTGTGCTTTCTGGTTTTGTCCACGTGAAAAGTTAACACTTTAAAGAACTCGTCATCATTCAAGCTATAGAGACCAACCATACACTTTCTAGAAGTTTTAGTACTAGGATATGTTATCATTAAAAAAAGCACATGCTAGCCCTGACTGCTTCGTCTATACTGCTGCTGTAACAGTTGATTAGTTGGAAAGGAAGGTACAGAATACAGACAGCAGGCTGTAGACCAGTTTAAAGAAACCCCACAAAATATGCACTTTTCTACCAATGGAAGACAACACATTCCCATGTAGGTGCACTTGCAATGTGTCTAGACAATGGAAAAAGGGGGTTTAACTCAAGTTACACACATTTATTTAACTAATAGCTTGACACTTCACCTAATACTGCATGTCCAGCACTTTCACAGTTGTTAATTGCAGAATGGTATGTCAACAAAATATTTAATTGTAAACCAGAACAAAAAAAACCCCTAATTTCTTTCAGAACATTAAAGTTTTGTCAGCAAGACTTTGCCTAACCAGCACATGAAGAATTAACAATATGAAGAATGGATGCAGATACACCCATAAGAGAATTTTCAGCATGATGCAAAGCTTTGACCACAAGAAAGCTGTTGGTATAAGCTGTAAGATACAGACTCACAGAACAACTGCCGGTGTAAAATCCCCGGACAGCCTCTAAAAGAAGGCAAGCTCTACTTTAAGTTAAGTTAGCCAGGGCTTACCTCTACCGAGTAATGCAAGCTATAAGAATATTCTCTGCCCCATCAAAAAAAAGTACAGAAACACACAGACGCTAAGTTAAATAAAAAAGAAGTACAGAAACATTAAGTCAAACAAGTGCACTCTTTTGCTAATTCAGACAAAGAACGGGTTTTGCAGTTTGAACTCTAAATATCCCTTTTGGCTCAGATATCCCAAACTTTCCCCAAACATCTACTTCTCCGTATGTGTTTTAGTCTATACAGAAACTAAGGGGCCAACACCACTAACTTGGTTTTGTTTTTTTGTTTTTTTTTTAAACACTTCACAAATACTTTCCCCCCCCGCAGATAGCGCACCCAGTAAGCGACAGACACCACCGCCGAACTCCCACCGCCTCAGCCCCGCAGCCTGAGGAGACCAGCGGGAGCTGGCTGGAGCAGGGACAGGCAGGGGGGGGGGGGGGG